GAATTCATACAATTTGTCTTTTGCGAAATCTATGCAAAACGGTCGTCTTTGCATATTAAGTTGCGATTCTGAAATAATGCCGGCTGTGGGAGTAAAAACGCTAACTAGAGCCGCCCTCGCACCAGTAAATAAAACCTACTACTTTAGTCGGTGATAATGAAGAACGACGAATTGACCTAAATTCATAGGACAGCAAGTACTATCAACGTTGTATCGGGCTGAATTTTAATAAGTTGCGTTTCTCACCAGTAACCTATGGCCTCCGCATCTGTTTTGTTAAAAAGTATGTTCTTAAGTCGACCGTCAGGGAAGTATACCGAACCCTCAAGAATTGTCGGCGGCTCAGGATTGACCTCGTGTTTCTGATGATTCACATGCATTTATAGTTCGCCTGCGCTATTATCTGTTTCCACTTTTTAAAGTGCGTTTGTAATGCTGACTACTTTCCTTATGCACAGTTTGACAGGGAACTCTTGTGGATGTCTTTTCTATTTAGCCTGAAAATTTCATTCGACCTTGCACCCCAGCATTCACAGAAAACTCGTGCAACTAGCCATGCAAATATCCTCTGCTGTAAGGACAAACTATTTCATAAATTTGCCAATCTCGGTGGGTTTGGCGACCGTCGGTTGGTGCACACACCGACAAAGTTTAGGGTTTTCATATGTGCGATTGAGCCCCTGTCTTGACAGTTCGTTCCTGTCGTTCTTCGCCATTGTGTACGAAAATCTCAACCGCAACTTTAATCAAGTGCTTATTTGCATAATTTACCCTCCGACCTGCGTCGATCGACAAAAAACCAAGGTCCACTCCCCCCATAACCACCACCACAACCCTCTGTCCCCCCGCTCGCAGGCAGTTGGTCCTGTAACAGGATGCGTGCATGAATCTGCTGCGTCCAGTGTTCCGTTTGCGATTGTGTGCTCGTGTGTCGTTCTTTGTGCTCGCAGTGGTCTCCTTGCGTGAGAATTTTATTGGTTTCAAAAACCCTCTTCACACACCGTCACTCCCTCTACAGCAGGCGCGTACTTTGTCTTGCTCCATTGGAGATGTTGTAACTTCGTGTTTTTTTGTTACTTTCGTGCGGTTTTCAGAAAATCCGCGTCCTCTAGTAAGAAGTGCGTTTGAAAACTGCCTCCCCGGTTTCTCTTCGTGCCTGGCGTGTGTACGTACGTACGTGTGTAGTTACGCACACGTGCCAGGCGACACACGGTTTTCGGTCTCTACCGTCCGTCTAAAGTGCCCAAAACTTTTTTCTCTGGAAAGACTGACGTCTATCAGTCAGTCCTCTATCCCCTAAATTTGTTGTCCAAATGAATTGCCGCTAGCAAAAAATTCTATCAGGCTAACTTACGAACTCGCTGTTTCCATAAGACCTATTTCTTCCTTAAAACGTAGCTTTCGAGGATAATGCTGTTTCTTCCAGCAACCACACCAGCCAGTCAAAGATCGATTTTTTCCATTCGACGTCATCATTTATGTTCACGAAGGGACATGACCCAGTGTAATGGTGCGCTTGTCTTAGTTCTTTCACTGTCAAAGAACTCATGACTGAATTTAAGGCATCACAATAGTTGACGACATATGTCGAGCGTTACAGCTGACGTTTTTGAGTAGGTTAAGAGCATATACAACCCCTCAACTTTGCAACAAGTCTATCTCTACCGCGCAAATAGTAGTAAAAGGGGTTTTATGGGTGGGGCCTTGAATACTTACGGAGGATCCCGTGGCCATTCCGTTTTCGGATCATTCACATGGCCCTTTTATAAAAATGGTCACATAATTTTTTTAAAGTGATCACGTAGTTTCCGATTGACTGCTTTTACTTCGCAGGGTTTAGCCCAGAATTAGTACATTAAAGCATGCATATGACGCAAGTAGGATTTTCTGACCTACTGCATAATCTCGACCCTGTCGCCTGTTCGTTTAAAAGGCCGCACTGGTAAAGTACCGTGTTGCAATTTCTTCCCGTATTAAATGTGGTTTTGCGCCAAACGGTTGGGGGGGGGGGCATATCTTCCTATCCGACCGTTTTTTACTTCCGCAACCCGCCTGAAACCTCTATTTTGTCTGTTGCAGGACTGATCCCTTTCTAGTTGGGTCATGTAAACGCTGAAAACTGATTCAGAATACCGCTTGACTTAACAGGTGCGTGTTTAGAAGTACACTGCTGAAGAGCAGAACAATTATTGTGCGGTTTTCCTGGCCGACGTTCCGATCACTCCATCGACCCCATCGTTAAGAACAAATCGAAATTGGACGATTCAGTCGAAACTCAGTTTCGTCCGACAAGCGTGACCCTCAGCTACGCTATTGACTTGTTCTCGAAGTGAGTGGTAATTGGGCGACAGGTCTATGTATCCCTTAACTGAGCCCCCGTTTTAAGTCAGTAAATCACCCTGCTAAACTCGTTATATAAATACTATGAGCTGAATGCGATTTCCAACATTGACTATGAAAAATACTGTAGGAAACATTTTCATTTCTTCCATCCACTGTTCTTTTGAGATGACAGCCGTGGGCTTTAACCAGGTTCTTACTTTCAACCTGGTAAAGGGTATTTCGGAAATACGACTGGCAACGTAGCTTATTCAGGTCTAGGCATCTTGGCTGCGCACAGGTGGACCGCATTTTTGATGTGCTTACTCAATCCAATTACCCTTTTGCTTAGGCATATGTTTCATTCTGCTCATAAGCCGATATCTCCAAACCTCACCCAGCACTACTACATTGTCGGTTGCCGTTGTCCAGCCCACCGCTAGTGCCATCTACTTGTTGTTTGCCTTTAGTGACGGGCATTGTGAATACAGCCCTCTTCTGGTACCGATGGAGCAAGGCACCCCCACGAATACGGGCAAAAGCGGCTGAACAAAACCACGAGGCCTGGATTTGCACCCGTGTAGCGTTAACCCTAATTGGTCTGGCACCAATAGCAAGGTAAGCGCGGCCATTTCAACTTCTGATGGTTTTGCCTATGAGGAACTTTTTTTACTACCTCTCCCTCTTATCCGGATCAGTGCTTTAAACCAAGAATCTCGTAGATGGGCGTGCTGCCTGTTAGCCTGATCTCTGGTTACCTAACATGCTCACGCATGGTGGATGTTAGAGTGACTTTTCCGGCAGATAAACAGCCATGGATCATCGGCGCAGAGTTGACAGCCCGAGAGGTCAAAGCTAATATTCTAAAAGGTCAACTGTGAATTTGCCTTTCGAGCAGATGAATGGTGTCTGGACTGCATTTTCATTCCTTTGCGTCCTGCCTCGTGCTAGCACTCAGTCATTGCCTGCTTTTTGGAATTTACTGGGACGTCAAATATTCTGTGCAGCCACTCGCTTTCAAAGTTTATCAGGGCGGGGGGGGGGGTGACAGGCCTAACAAACTGACAAACAGAATCCAAACCCAGTGTGTGTCGGCCCCGGTCAAAGCTCTGGAGTTCGATAACTGCACTCCGGCATTCAGGACCACCTATTGCTCACGGCAAGGTCATGGTCCCCCACACACCCGTTCAACTGCGTCCGTGCGCCTCCGGGTTTCCGAGTGTTACGCTATAAGTAGGCCATAGGCCCACGGGCCTCCATTTTGTAAACAATGCGCCTGTTACCCCTTCTTGTTGCGCCCTTCAGAAAAACACCAGAAGGATAATCGACATTACCCAATCCTTTAGTTTGGCACCGCACTTCCTGTGGGTTAGGGTTCGCATTGTTTACGTATTTTTATGTCGGCTACACTAGTGCGGCGCACGTCTTTCTGTCGTGGGCTAGGCCCGCAAGAATAGTTATCCATTTTGCGCTCCACACCCGAACACCGAAGTCTGCTGGACTTGTGGCGTCTAAAAGAATGACTGAAACCACAGATCCACAATCACGGCCCAGTCCCGCTTTAGGGTGTCAGTTCGACCATCGATTTGGACTATATCCATTGTGTGCTCCACAGCAGACACGGTGACTTTCGAGTGATTTGTTTTATAGTGATAGTAGACTCGCTCAGCATCTACCGCTCTCTCCTCCTCCTCCTCCTCCTCCTCCTCCCCCACCTAGGCCCCGTGTCAAGACGTAGTCAGGAAGACCGGAGGTGGGAGGGGGCGCAGGTGGCTGGCACGACCAGAGCCGTCCCTTGGCGTGCCGCCACACCCGGCACGAATCCTACGGAGGGGAAGTGCCATAAAGACCACATTAAGAAGGAGCCATTGCAGCCTGACTCTCAGACCTCCAGTCAGCCACTCCACACAAACACACACGTTGGGCCGATTTCGAGGTCAAGGTTATCCCGTTAGTTGGCGACCTTCTAAGCCACGGCTTTTAGCGCAGTGTAATAGCCTAAAGCGTGTCAGATTGTGTACAGTGAGGGAAATGCGCTGAGTCGTCAACTTCACTCTCTATTCCCAGGCCCCAGTCACTGTAGGTGCCGATCATTTGACAGGTGGGGGGAATGGACACAGTGGCTGACATATATATTGACCTTGTCTGTGCGTGCCACATGCACGACCTGGACAAGCACCAGGATGTCACACATCAGGAGGGGGGCGGCATACATCTCACATGCGTGAGTGTCAGAGGTCACGCTAAGAAGGAGCCGTTTCAACCTGACTCTGCCCACCAGTTCGCCACTCCACACAAACACACTCAACTGGGCAGACTGCGTGGACCGAGTTGATGCGTCAGTCAGCAACCTTCCAGGCCGTGGCGCATGGTGTACCGTGATAGTTTCGCGCTCAGATCACACATGCAGTAGAGGAGCCACATGGAGAAGTGGTTGAGAGACACAGTCCTCACTTACATGAAAGTTGAGAGTTGTGCGCTTGCGTTGCGTGGTGGTGGGCAATGTTGGTGTGCGTTGTAGATGCTGGTGAGGAGAGGTGTGGTATGGCCGGCGTGATGTACCGCAGGCCTTAGTGAATCCGCATGGGGCCCAGAGGCCCGTGCCGTAGCTTAACGTCCGAAGTCAGTGAGGGTAGTTGGGGTGACGGTTCCTGGTGTACGTTGGTGCTTCAAGCACTGGTTCACCAGTCTCCGTGCGGCGGCCTCGTGGATGACCGACCAGGCCGGTGCGTGAGGTTAATATGTGGTGACATTGTGAGCAGGATAGGTCCGGAGCTGCAGGATCGGTTTCGGTGGTGATGATAATAGTGCTGCTGTTGTTGGCCGCGGTGCGCAGGACGATGAAAAATGATTGGATTAGGGGTGGCGGATGTGCAAGGTATGCTGGGTGAGTCGATATCGCGGTGTATTCCGCTATCATGAATACGCATGCGACTGAGTAGGCCCATGCGGCGGATGGATGTGCGTGGACAGCGAAGGCAGATGCGGCGAGTGTATGTTGGTGTTCCAGACACTGCTTCGCCAGTCTCTGTACGATGTATTCGTAAGTGACCGGCCAGGCCAATGTGTGAAGTGGATGTGCGGCCGTAATGAGGACGTGTTGGAACCGAGCTGACATCGCTGGAGGTGGGGGTGATGGTGGTGAATGCGTTGGCGGTTGTCGGGACGTCAGGAGCTTTTTGATCATTGCGGTCGTTGTGTTCGTCGTTGCCGCGGTATTTGTGACAGAGATAGTGGACGTGGTAGTGACTGATAACATTGTGACAAGAGGATTCGAAGCAACGCTGGTGAGGGTGGGCGCCGACGTGGTAAAAGTGGTTGGAACAGGTGCGGTCGTGGAGGCGGCAGATACGGTCGTCTGACGATTGGAACATTGGGTCCGCGCGCGAAGTGTTGGAGGACAGTGCGGGCATGTTAGATGGGATTGAGTGGCGATGTTGCGACTCAGAGGCGTATGAGAATCGCGAGCCGCCCTTTCGACTTTGGTGTTAGCGATCCGGTTTGCGCCGTAGATGGTTGGGCCGGTCTTCACTTCTCTTCACCAGGCCGGCCGGCCCGTTCTGGTCGAGGCCCTCCCAGGTCTCCGGCTAGAAGCGAGAAGACACGAGCAGTCGTGTATTGCGTACAGTAACCCAGTGGTGGTCAGAGCTCCCGACGCTCGGCCGGCTTTGGGCCTGCGCGCGCATCGGTTCGTTTAAAAGGTGAGGACGAGTGAAAAAGCGTCACGTGAGGGTCAGTCAGTGTCGGCTTGGTCAGTTGATTTGGGTGGCAGTGGAGTTTGTGAGCACCTGTGATTGGCTCCCTTCGTGGCTGAATGAGCCCATGTTCTGACGCTGCGGGGCCGTGATCGCTTGATTCTTAGCGTGGCGTGAGTGCCAGAAGCGGAAGGCTTATTCGTGCTTGAGGCGTTACGGGCTTAGCAGCCTCTCTGGGTGCGATTTCACCACTTGTTTGGGCGCCATTTCGGGCAGACGTTCGGATGGTCAAATTCCCGAACAGTGTGCTCTTCAGGCCTGTGGGACATGTCACCGAGCATTCTGAAATTGTGACCTTTTACTGCATCGCCAACAAGATTTGTCTCTGGCCAACTGTGGGTTTCTGCGTTTAAGGCACTGCGCAACCTTTTCTGCAACTGGATCCGATGAAGGGTTCGAGTGAGAATCCTAAACGTCAGACCAATAAACTTCTTGTTTTAGCGATCGCATCTTCTTCTATGACAGAACTATCAACCGAAGCTGTATAAATATCCAAGGACAGCTATTGTCAGACGGAATGGCATTACCGACAAAGACAAGGGAGACTGGAATGGCCATTTCTGGCTTATTAGCCATCGTCAGCCAGAAATGACCATTCCAGTCTCCCATGTCTTTGTCGGTAATGCCATTCCGTCTGGCAACAGCTGTCCTTGGATATTTATACAGCTTCGGTTGATAGTTCTGTCATAGAAGAAGATGCGATCGCTCAAAAAGGAGTTTATTCTCCCTATATCATGCGCCGCTGTGCGGCTGCTGGTTGGGCTTGAGAGAGAGCCCGTAAGGCACAACGGAACGAGTGAGTTCCATATGAACGATCGGTGAGCGCCCCCTAACATTGTATATTCCCGATCGAAAACCGACAAGGCAACGGGCTCGTGGCCCGGTGAGTAGAGGCGTTGACTTCTAAACCAACAGGTCGCGAGTTCGAGGCTCGGGTGTTCCACACTTCGGGCTTGGGTATGGCTGGCTGACGACGGCTAATAAGCCAGAAATGGCCATTCCAGTCTCCCTTGTCTTTGTCGGTAATACTATTCTGCCTATATATCATGCGCCGCTGTGCGGCTGCTGGTTGGGCTCGAGAGAGAGTCCATAAGGCACAACGGAACGAGCGAGTTACGTAAGAACGATCAGTGAGCGCCCCCTACCATTGTCAGACGCACCAACATTCCTTTAGGTCAGCAGAACTTACGGACAAAGTTTCACAGAACAGGATCTCTTCAACTGAATTTCCATGCAGTCAAGTTTTCCTCCTCTACGAACTTCACAGTGAGACCACAGGCACCTCCAGGGCTGGCAGAATATACCACACGAAATTAACATAGCGCGGTTTATCTCGCTGAGACGACTCATAGGTGGCCCAGTCGAAGTCGAGTAAACAAAATCTTCGACCGCCGCGTGCTTCTCGCCGGTTGCGAACGGAAGCGATACTCTACAGTCGGGCAGAACGTTCCTCTCTACCAGCGTTTAGTTCTAGATTTAATTTACGGTAGTCGGCAGCCATGCTTTCAAAGGCAGATTATGCTTCCTCAGAGGAAGACGAAATACTTGCTTTTGTCACCATACACTTGAATGTGGATTCGTATGGACTGGTAGCAGGCCTATTGAACCGCAAATGCCCTGGAGGCTCATTGTAAGCCTCTGCGGGCTCAGAGGACACTGCTGTCGATGTTTGAAGGACGCCCACGGCTGTCGATTCAATATGAAGTTTAAGCCGAGTTAAGAAAACTTAATTTTCCTCCGTCGAATGTATTTTTTTACCGCAGCGAAAACACTATATCTTTTTCATGTCTGTGCTACCTCAGAGGAGTGAGAATGTTATAGGTGGATCCTCACAAGGCTCTGCCAGGTAAAGTCGTTTGCGCCGATGTGCTTGAAGTGGCGGCATTATGTCTTATCGCCCTTTCTGAAGGAAGTAGCATGAACATTATTCCAGCGTCGTGGGTCAGACTCCTTGCGCCACACCCTCTGAAATTTCTTCCCAACCGCAGAGGAGTTACGTGATAACAGTTCCCCTAGACCCCATCTGACAGTTCCAAACCTCAACACATACTTTTAAAGTGTTTGAATTCATTCCCTATTTGGCCATATGCGGCTCCATGCAAGTCTCCGATAAGACTGCGCTCCAGGTCCTATCACCATATCTCATCCTATCTGCCCACGTACACATCCCTAAGCCACACATGGACCCTCTCCGTGCCACGCGACACACTCCGTAACAATCATATTTCATCCCGGCAGCAAGCAGGTGATCCAATTAGCCGTCACCGTTTTAGCCGGCGTAACGTCAGGTTTCAGAACATGCTCGTCTCAGGTAAGCGGGAAGCATGTTTCTCAAAGTGTCTCGGCAAATGCAGTGATCAGGCCGCGTGT